CACACATGTATCTTTTTGCTCTATTTCCTTTAGCGTTATTTTTATTCGTTATTATAATTATAAAAAGGAAAACCTAATAATATAGTGTTGTGCTTTTAACATCAGTACTAACCTCTAATAACTATAAATTTCTTCAATAGCAATAAGGTTTACTTTTTAAAGTCTGTATTCCTCATGTGTGGGGGTGGGGGGTCAGCAGCAGATAACAGTGCAAAGCAGGAAGAAAAAGGGGGAAGAGTGGTGAACTTATTTCTAGCAGCAAAACAATTGGCGCAAGGATTGGGTTATTTAATTTTATTCAACGTTTTTGTAACGTCCTACAGGTCCTGAGGGAAAATAAATACGAAGCTGTCAGATTATTCTAAATGTGTGCAAAATGAGGGATAATCTGTGTAAATTACAATCTGTTCATGTGAGCAGTCGTCAGCATCCATCCTCCTCCAGACTGAGTCGGTCCATTGCTTTTGTTGACACTGATCAGCTGACTGATTTAAATTCATCTTAACATTCATGAGGTACTTTGCATTTACTGTTTATGGGTGAGTGTGGGTGTGTAGAGGGTAGAACCTGAGGAGGGACCTCGTGCACAAACTCTGAGCTGCAGCTGTGATGTGAAAGGAAGATTGCTTGAAGGTGTGCGTGTGGATGGTTTTATAAATCTGAATTTTTTTTTTTTGGCTAACGCCATTTTCACCTTTTGGCCATACGTTCACTTTCAGTATGAATTATACACAATTCTTTATAAATGAGGGCTCAGGACACTCTAAAGAAACTGTCTCTCAGCTGGACTGGGAACACTTGGAACAGCAGCTGCCCCTGCGACTTGACTCTGGACGGATGACTTAAATCAGGTTTTTCCATATTTAATTAATCTTAAGTGTTTTTGTAGCAATACTGTTTTAAACTGAGTTCAAACTTGAATGGGTTCCAGGTTGGAATTAAAATATTGCCAAGAGGGGTGAAAAGGTCTGCTGCTCACACAACTCACTCACCTTACAGCCAATGGCCAGCAGGGCATGCAAGACTAGGATGGTCATTACTGTGCCCACAGCCATCACCTTGCTGTCATCACGGACAACAGGCCAGAAGGTCAGGACCAAGACAGAGCCAGAGATCACCATGGCAACCACAATCAGCGCCCACTGCAGCCATTCGAGTGGTATGATCCACAAGATCTGGAGGTGGCAAGATTTTACATTTAGTTGGGGTGCAACGACACAGGAAATTCACGATTCGGTTCAATACTTCAGTGTCACGGTTCGATATTTTTTCAATATAAAAAAGAGAAATTTCCATGCCCTTTTAAACTTGCAATTTATTGAAATGAATAATGAACATTTGTKTAACCTCAAAAGTAGAGTTTTTAAATTAAATATTGCTGAAACAGCAAGTTTCTCAGTGGATCTGTGCTCAACAATGCAGCCTAGGTGGAGTAGTCGAACACAGATCCTCTGATCCTTCAACACAGAGCATCTTCAGAAGATAAGCTGATAAAATTAATTTAAAATCTATATTGTTCGATACAAGTGCATATCGAACCTAGAGTACTGTATTGAGCGGTTCGATACAGATACATGTATTGTTGCACCTCTATCATTTAGCTGTAAATTTATGACTGTCTGCCAAACATCCAGTCAGTTTGCAGATGGAAACTAGAACGGCGCCAATTTAAAGCTTGGCGTGGAAAACTAGCCGTTCAAAATGTGGCCTCGCAACTTGTTGGTCACTTAATTACAAGCATTTTAAATTTAGTGAGCGTGCAACAGAACATTTGCACATTTTATTCACAATTCTGAGTGCCTAACTCGTCCCCAGCAGTCACAGACACTGACTTCATCCTGCTGAGAGAACCTGATCAACCCAATAAAACCTGACACCTCTGAAGAACCAGCATTAACTTTTCAGCAGGTTGAGCTACTCTAGATGAGTCAGTGTACACACAAAGAATCACAAGGTTTTGGATAAGGTATGATATTTGTGACATCTCAGAGTTGCTCACACATTTTTTTATTTTAAGTTGTATTCACCTTAAAGCCTTCCAAACCTGTTTTTTAACCAATATTTGAAGTCATGGCCGGACCTTGAGGAAATTTGAGCCTTTACTATGTTAACAAGTGAGTTTTTTTGAGTAGTTCTTAAYTGTGCTGAACAGAGTGTTAAACTAGTTTATCACCTAATTAAGGACAGACAATTCAAAGCAAACGTAATGCAGTCAGGTGGAGCCTCAAAAACCTGTGCCAGGACTTGGTAGCTGATCTCCGAGGGACTTCCTCACGCATCTGATGGGAGTGTGTTTTGCAATTTGGGATAAAAATCTTGTAAGGGTTCACCAAGGGGGAAATAAACATTTCCACTTGTCTTTGACTCTGGTTTAAAAATATTTCTCAAAAAAGACATTTTATTTTCTTTAATAAACAAAATAATGTTCTTTATATTTTTGATTTTTATTCTCTTTTTAACTACAAGTTATCATCATTTTATAAATCAACATTACCTAATGAAAAGAGTAACCATTAATCTTTTACATTATACTTCAGAAAAAGAAAGAACACACCATGAGAAAATGGTTGAAATGTCCCTTTATTTGTTTTAAACAAATGCTTGTTTAATCAACTATTATCTTACAGTAGAAGTGATTAAGTGTTTTTCTTTTTATTGTTCAATCTAACTACGTTGATTGTTGTGATTATGACTTCACTGTGTTTTAATATGAAATATGCTTAGAAAATTATTTGTGTTTGAATCACAGACAAATATTTTTTAGATTTATTTCRGTTCAAATGRTTCTTATGTTCCAGAGAACTTTAGTCATCTTTAAAGTCTGTCAAAGTTAAAACTTGTTTTTTTAGAAACAGGTGCAAAATGTTTTTTTCTGCTCTGGCAGGAAGTCCAGCCATGACAAATAGATTGATCTCAGGTGCCAATGAGAAAGTCTTTTTGTCTCGAGCCAAGGCAACTCCAGCCTTGACTCAAACAGCCTTAAGCTCCTTTATTTGAACTTTTATTTTGAAAGAAGAAAGCCTGAACAAATCTGGCCACTATTCGCCTGACTGGAAGCRGCTCCTTTGAGASGCTGTGAAACAAAACGTGGGAGTTTCACTGGTCGTAAGTTCCTGACCTGGATGTTAACAGCTGAGTGGCCCCTGTTCCAGCTGACCTGATGGTTGAAACCACCTTAAAGTAAAGCTGCGTTTTTGTAAACGCGTCCTGGATCCAGCGGACGGGGAGAAGCAGATGACGCTGGCGCTGTTCGGGTTTTCACACCCTTGATAAGGTAATTGATAACAATTAAACCTTTAACTAATCCTCCTTTTTCTTCACTGTTCTTAATCTGAAAACCTTGCCACAAGTTAAAGTACCTGTAAACGTAAGTGTTTGATAACATCTAAACCTAGTTTTCTGTTCCTGTTCTGAGTGTCATATTTACAGTAAATCACATCGGACGCAAAGTGGTTTTTGTCAATATTTTATCTCATAAAGTTCTGATTGTTACCTTTAATTTGTACATAATTCATTTTATTCTGTAAATAAATATCATTTATTTTAGAAAATTGAACTGACTGGAGACAAATTGTTGTCTGAGTATTTCTCACCTTACCACAGAGGTATTTCTGACTTTACCACAGAGGTATTTCTGACTTTACCACAGAGGTATTTCTGACTTTACCACAGAGGTATTTCTTTCTAGAAAAAGAAACCGTTTTCCTCATTATTTATGAGAAGGTGTGAGAGACCCTGGTTGTCTCACTACTCTCTCAAAGAGGATTTTATTTTTATACAATATGTTTTTATTTGTAATGTGATTTGTGTTTAATGTATGTGATATAAATGAATGTGTTATTTCAGTGATGGAATGTGTGGCAATAAAAAAGTAATAATTTGTGAGCTTTTTTGTGTTTTTTCATGAAGGGTGTGAGCTTAAGTCCTGTGAGTCTTTAGCTGTGTCTCGATTCACAGGTTGCAGCCGATGTCGGCCGCAACAAATACATTTTAAAATTTATCAAAACATGTTTTAGTTAAAAATATTTAAAGTTTAATTTTTATTTTATTTTATCATGATATAAAAATAACAAAACCATAAGCAGGTCAGATGATCTGTGCTGTTTTCTGAGAATCATCTTTCACTTTCCTCAAGTATTTTCCAGTTATTATTTTGCTGAATTTTTGACAGTTTCCATCACATTCTGCATRAATAAAACCTATTTTCTTTCACGTGTTTAGATATTTATTTTTTAACACGCAGAACACGTTGCTGCGCGTTTGATTGGCAGCCGCTGCGTCTTTGCCTTATTATGCCTTTTTCTCTTCTCTCCTCCTCCTTCTGCATAGAAGGCAGAGAAATAAGGAGGCATTTTCTAATGGTTGTAAACTGCAGCCAATAAAAAACGTGTCGATTGTTTCCCTTTCTTTTCTTTCTTCTTTTTATGTCTTGTTATAATTTGATCAGTCAAATGCGGGACTTTGTTTGAACTTGTGCGACGCCGGGACAAGAGTGAAACATGTGAGACAGTCCCACACAGTTTGCCTGGGGCTGTAGATAAATTACCTGCTGATTATAACTGTCCTCTGTTGTGTGGATGAGAGAAGAGAGAGGAGCTTCAGCAGCTCTCCTCCTGTCCGAGCGCACAGCACGTTCACTGCAGGAGCTGCAGCACGGCACGTGTGTGAAGGGAGGGTGTGAGGGCAATGTTATTATTAATAATA